GCACCAAACAGATGAGTACAAATTGGTATAACATGGTTCTTAAGGAAAATCTCTCTTCTAATATTGTGTAATCATCTGCCATGATAGAATTATTGTAACAGTTCCTTCATTATTTTCTTAACTTTTGCCCAGTAGAGAGAAATGCACAGAGTCCCAACTCCTAGCAGTTTCTGAATTCTCAAACTTCTCCAGGGGACCGTGACCAGATGGCTTAATGCTGTACAACCCTGTAGACTAGTTTACCATTTACACATTAAAATGCGCTGCTTCCAAGTCTATTAAATGCTTCTCTACATTTTGTTGTTCCCACAGTCTCAACCATAGACTCACTTATAGTGACATGAACGTGCTAAGCTAGTATTACTAACTTTCTAAAGCAATAATAATAACACAAATCACCCTGTTATTAATATAATTGTGACTATGACAAAGAACTCCACAATCTAGCCTAACAATGAGGGTTTAACGCAATTCAGAAAAAGCATATAGTCTAGCCCTACGTACTCTAAAAAGCCAAAAAATATGACTTCTAAGTTTCTGTCTTTATTGGTAAAATATACACAGCTTTAAACCACGTTGATCTGTGCAAAACTGCATTGTCGGAGTTTCATCTCATAGTACTTCTCATTGGGTACAGTGTTGTGAGGTAAGCCAAATGTCCTGCGTTAAGGTATCTAAGGTAAACTGTCAAAAATGGAAAAAGGGTATTATTGAACTGAATTATTAAGATCAAATTGTCTTGAAAATCAGAAGTTTCAGATACTCAAAATGCTTCATTATAAAAATAAACATCTCTGGAATTGCATGCTATAAAATATATCAAAAGAATTCTAATGTGTTCTTCCCCCCCCATCCCTTTTTTTTTTCTTCCCAGAATAAATCCAAATATCTCTAGCAGAATGAAGAAAATTAAGCTTGATTCTTTCTGTTAGGTTTTGTATTATTTTGTATCTTCTTACTTTTTATATTAACATAGATGTACAATAATAATTATTTACTATGATCAACAAGGAAGTATACATGTTTAAATCTTAATGTTAAGATAATATTATTATAAAATAATAAAAAAATGTATTGTTTGAACAATTTGAATAATTTTGCTGTTTAATTGTTTGTATGATATTTAACTGCCATAGAAAAAAAATATTCTTAAATTTCAAGTGTATCAATTGGCATTGAATTCCATACAAACATGGATGTTTGCCAAATATTGATACAATTCAATAATCATTTCCATATTGTGAACTTCAGGACACTGCTGCTCATTCTTAAAAATTATAGACTATAAACAAAGGAATTATATACATCAGTTTAGAATTAATGTGTGATTACACGTGCTTTAATTTATGAAGCAGCAGCTTTGTAAGGAAACGCTTCCAGAGTTAGAAGTTATTTTATAGCAAACATTTCCATCTGTTTTTCCAAGGCTGAAACTCTAAACATTCGCGTACACGCTCAGATTTACACATGCACATGCAAATAGTCCAAAAGGGCAATTCACAGGGAATTTTCTTCAGGACGGTGACATACATACAGCTTTTAATTACAGGTCATGGAAAGGTGCTTTTTGATAAATTAAAAAAAAAATAAAAAAATGGAACGTCAGCTGTATATTCACCATTAATTTTCTTCAGGACAAACACAATCTTATACAGAACCAAAAGCTTCAGAGGAATAATATTGCTTCGCTGTCACAGAACTAAAGTAGGAACTGAAGAGCCATTTGTGAAAAGAGGTGGAGAGTGTAGACAAGAAACTCCTTAATTTCTTAAAGGCTTTCTACTACCAGAATTTACTTAACTTTTTCACCATACCTACACTTACACTAAAATTTCAATTTAAGTAAAACACAATCCAATTGACTACTTGGAACTAGCATGTGCCACAATTTTTCACCAATCCTGGATTATTTGAGTTCATTTTTAATCACTGAAAAAGACGTGATACTTGTAATAGTACCTGAATGATGCATTAAAAGATACAATCCTAAAACCAGCTATATTTTGTGCCATGTCCCATGCAAAATACGCGTAATAGTCATTAGCTGACCACACAGTTTATAACACTGATTTGGCACAGTGTCTTCACAGAATGTGTCCCAGATGTTATTGTAAAGTTTTTATGCATGTACAAAAACTAAAAATTAGAACCCCTTTATGATGCTAATAAATTGTCAAACTTCTCTGACCATATGCAAGATTTCAATTCTTCATAAACATTTGAACTAGTTTAGTAAACATTTAGAAAACTGTGTACTACATTACAGATTTTAAACGTGACAGCTGACAACATAAATTTTCTGGATGATGATCGAGTCAATGTTAGTGCAGCTGTAGCAACAGTAAGACATGCAAAAGCTTAACATTTAGTTTCAACTATTTCAGTGCATTTTTCATAAGATTCAAGGATTGCCAATGATTTACACTCAGTACATAAATTCTAAATTGCCAGTAAAAATGGGAAATAAAATTTGAACCCCTTAAAATTATTTTGGAACTATTTTTCAACTGCACAAATAAGGACTTAGGGCAAGACACTAAATTATCCATTTCCTGAAAATAAATAACACTTTAAACAACAATAGCTCTTTAGAAAGGAAACAATCACTGTATTGAAATTAATAGAAACACAATTCATGCATATTTTTATTACCTAAGTAATTCAAACAAAATATTTTGCCTACAACATTTATATTAGAAACCAAAATGTGTAGTCCTGGATGTATGCATGTGTAAAGGCTGTGGAATTTGGCCACAGCTCTTCAGAAGTAGCTGTTCTCTAAGAGATTGATTAAGAACAAAAAGTTAATTCTCAATGCACAGAATGCAAATATTTGCCCTTATGTTATACAGCTTTATTTTATGTTACTTTGCATCACAAAGACTACTGATACATTCATTCTACCTGTTGTAATTTTTATAAACTACAAAGTTCTGCTTGTTCTAGCATTCAGAGGATCTTGCAAAGGTAATTAAAATGTTTTAGGGAAAATAACATTTATTTGTCACTATTTATTTGAAAATAACATTTGTCACTAATTCTTTTAATAGCAGCTAAATGTGGGATTAGTATATCAAGGTCATAAATCACAAGCTCTCATAACTAACTCTTGATTGTTTTATCTCCAGAAAAAAGTCACCTTGATTGCAATGAATATTTCTACTAAAGATATTTTTAAATTTCACTTCCTGATTGTTTTTTCCACACTCTGTTCTGGGTCATTAAATGCAATGTAAAGCTCCACAAGTCCAAAGCTACTGCAGTATACACATAATCTGATTATATTTTCTCTGAGTTAAATTATCTCATTTTGGAATACTGTGTGGGGTTTTTTGGTGTTTTTTTTTTCCTCATTCTTTTCTGCCTTGTGGCCATACATAATTGATCAGCTAGTTAACAATAAATGTATGGGAATGTTGTAGAATCCTATCATGGGAATGGCTATTTCCATCACATGTCAGTGTATCAGAGCCAGAATAATTGCTGCTGGCATATTACAAATGCCTTAAATGCATATTCTGTGCAAAAAAAGCAGCAGGGTTCCAGCTTCTTAAGCATGTGCAAACTAGTGCAGAGAATATAAGTTACCACTTTAAGCTTCAACATCAATCTAGAGTCCACCACAGGGGGCTTCTTCATCACCTGCAGTTTACATCTTCAGAAAGTCCAATTGTTGACACCCGTAGCTATCCAAAAATATATGCAATCCACAAGCTTTGAGGACTCCCCTGATTGCTGGCTGGCTCTATTGGGCCATATGTTTGATGTTTGGTAGTGAAATACAGGAACACAAAAGAGAAAACACTGCTTGACATGTGCTAATCCCTGAGCTTAGTCTTCCTGGAAAACTTAAGTTGCTCGTTATGCTCTCAGCTCAGAGTTCAGTTTCAGAAAAACACAGCAAACAGCGGCTGTAGAGACTGGTTAAACAACAGACTTCTTATAAGAGAGGATGCTCAGGAAGGCAAAGCTTGACTCAAGAGATTAGCCGCTAGTTGGAGTATTTAAACTCCGTTACAATTTTATTGTTTCTTAATGAGGTTCTTACTTCTCTATCCAAGAGATTGTCCATCCAAAATGGGCCAGACCAGGCCAGGCAAAAAGGACATAAGCATGTATGAGATATATTATAAAATCTTTTCTCAAGGCAAACACTGTGTTGTGCAAAACGTGCACAGTAGCATTCTCTCTTCACTGTTCTGAAGGAAAAACAGATCTCAGTATTTATTCCCAGATAAGTTTCCAAGAACTCTGGAGGTATCTAACTCTACTTCTTTTCAGCTCCATGTATTTCTTGAGCCTGATGTAGTTTGCATGACTAGCACTCCTCAATGAATCCCAGTGTTGAGTTTCATCTTGAAACATGTATACAAATGCTTTTCGCATTCACAAACAATCTTAGATATGAAGCTCAATGTAATGCAATAGAAAATGGAAATGAAGAAGATTGTCAAAGGTACCATTCAGGAATTCTGAAACTTTAAAAGAAAATATTCTAGAAAAAGAGAAATACTGGAAGATTTCAGAATTTCATGCAGTAGACACTGTATATGCTTCCTCGAGTTTTCACAACAACTTTCATCAAAAATATTTTTTTCTTTAGGAATAAATTTGTTTCATTATTTTTATACCTTGATTCTACAGTGTATGAATACTACTATAAAGTAAAAGCATTCAGGATATTTTTTAAGGTTCAGGAAACAGTGTCAACAACATAAAATAAGTTCTTTCTATCATCTGTGATGATTAAAAATCATAATAAAATGGATATGTATATACACATTGTAATTTCCAGATAAATCTAGTTGCCACTAGTTGTTGCAAGATACAGAACAAAATTACTAAATATATTCACTTTGGAAAACAATATCACAGTAAAGGCTATTATTTCAGTAATTTATTACATAAAAATATGGTAATATGCTTTTCTACTTGTAAAAAAAATAAACTTCTAACAGTATTCCAAAAATTCTATAATATTTAAGAATCTTTATATTTACCCACGCACTGGAATATTCATATTTCTTGCTGACTTAGCAACTTCTTCAAATTTTTCTATGCTTTCTTCAATAGAACAATTAATATTCATTTTGCTAAAAGATTCAGATGCTGCACCAAATACTGAAACCTCTGTAGCCCCTGCTGCAATCTGAAAAATACAGAACAGTATCAACAGAACAGAAGTATAACGCTACATTAGAAGATGAGATTAAGTAGTTAATTTCTTAAGACCTTCCGGAACTTTAAAGTACATTATATGTCTTCCCTATTTCTGAAGTATAAGTTTAATTACTTTTTTTTTAATCTATTTCATACAAATCAGTCAAATCAAACTTTGAGTTCATTGCCCTATGACAAATTTCCTTCTTCTTCTTAGCAATCATACACACATAAAAATATAAATACATAAATATATATATATAAATACATATATATTTTAAAGTGATAAAATTTAAGTATTAAAATGTAGGAAAATACATAAACATTCAATGAAAATAACAATTCATTTCATTTTTTGCAAAAGTAAAGATCGCATAACATCTCTGAAATAATCATCTTCTGTACAAAGTCAGCTCCTTGCCAATGCCAAGAAGTCATTCTCACAACTTAGGACAAAATCTGTAACCCACAAATACATGGAGCAGCAACAGTAACCAATAAGATTTCCTTGATAAAGTTGACTGCAATGATCAAGTGCTCCACTGGTATTGGTGTCATAGCTGAGTGGGGAACACAGAAAAGGCGTTATTTGGATTCTGCTGGGAAAAAGCCTCAGAGCAAATACCAGCCTAGAAAATGCTTATTGTCAATGTGCTGCTTCACTGAAGGGGCAATTAGCCTGAGCTTGTCCTCAGTAAATCAACTAACTAACTAAGGAGGCAAATCAGAACACTGAGAAAACATTTAAGCTGAAGAGAATAGCTAATTAATTCTCACTCTCTGGTACAAATACTAGTAAGCTTTCTCTCTCTAGCTCACTTTTCCCTTTATTTTCTGTTACTGTGGGATGTCTTAGCTTCAGCAACTATCACAGAAACAAAAACCCTTTCAAATAAAAGGATCAAAAAAAAATCAAGAAAGGATAGGGGAATCACCTGGAACTATTTTTGTACTGTTTCCCCTTCACTACATCACTAAGCAGGGTATGCAGAGATCTAATTTAGTTTACACAAGTTACCACTGCAGACAAAGTTGGCTGACTGTTGGTAGCTGACTCACTTATGTATAGAGTTCTACTTAACAGAGATTACATATGCAGTATAGAAACTGAATGACAGACTACACCACAACTGGTCCATCCACAAAGCTGTGTGCCTTCCAAATATGGCCTGTCCTCTATCAAGACAAAGCATGGAAGCACAAAACATTTTCAGAATTAAAAACAAACAAACAAACAAAAAACAAACAATGTAAAGACAACTATCAATATGCATTGCTTCATGAAGACTGAACTACACCATTTTGAGTCTTAACATAAAGAATATTTACTTTGTATGAACTGGAACAGTTTAAAACTTTTGAAATGAAATGAAAAATTTAAGGAATCTAACACATTCCTCTAAACCATTTTCATTTAATTCACTCGCTACTTTCTAGTAAGAAAAAATTCTGCAGAAACTTTTCTAGTGCCAACAAGCCTAAGAAAGAAAAGGAGTTCTTTTTATGCAAGTATCATTTATACAAATATGCAAGGACTGATTGATATTTCCACTGGTGGAAGAAAATATGGAAGGAAAAAAATGAAAACATGGAGAAGGTAATTGTGAATGTCTTTTACAAATGCACTTACAGCTGAATGAAAACCTTTAAGATTAGGCGTGAGAACAGGATATTGGACTCCAGGATGCCGCTCAATGCCTCTCATTACTTCTTTGTGATCTGCCATCTGAAATACAGAAATAATTTGCCATGATTGGCAGCTAATTTTTTTATTCTATATCTAAGCAAAAAAACCACTGGCAGGTGTTCAGGTATACCGTTCACAGAAAAGTTTAACAGCACAGGGATTAAACTGAGGTTGTACAAACATCTTTTCTTGTATTTCATAACTTTTGACTACTTGAGTTGCAAGCATTTCAGTTCCACATGAATACAGAACTGGGATTAAAAATTCTACAGTGTTTTGTTTTACGTGTATCTGTAAAAAAAAAAAAAAAAAAAAAAAAAAAATTGGATTATACAAAGACAGATTTTTTATGATGCTAATCTCTGATTATTACTGCAACTTTAAACCTACCTTGATGGACTCCACAGTGAAATCAACAGAATAAAACCATCCAAAACTTGAAAATGGAGCACTTTGATAAATGAGTCAGCAGATATGTGATAAATGAGACTTCACAATATTAAGAACAATTGAACCTACTCAATGCTGTAACCAGCATATTTGAAAAGACTAAAAACAAGTGCTTAGTCATTTCTTAAAAAATACAGCAAAATCCAAATTTCTGCATAGTGCAACATTTTCATATACTTGGGATTAAAAAAAAAAAAAAAAAAAAAGATTTTATTACAACAAAAGTCAAAGAACAATACTTTACTGAATGCTTACTGAAGCATTTGTTTTCCTTAACCTCCCCTCAAGAGAGAAATCATAGCTTTGCAAGACACACTTACTCTTTTCTCACTCAAGATTAAATATAAAAAATAAAAAAAAAATAATAAAAAAAAAGGATGGGAAACTATAAAGAGCTTGAAAATACCAAAAAAGAAATAAGTGAACGAATAATCTAAACATAACCAAGAATTTCATTCCCATGACTCACGAAAATGAAAAGGAGCAAAGAAAAGACAAAGTCAAGACTGCACTTCCTATCAAAGCAACACAATCTTATCTTTTAAATAAAGAAACATTTTAAGCACAACTTAAGTCATTAAAATAAAGCATTCAGACATGGATTCAAGATAAAAGGGGTTGTTCATTTTTTCTGAAACTGTCACATTAGTACTAAATTTGATACTCTTAATGGCTGATAGGAAAAGAAAATAATTAGACAGGAAATGAAGAAGTCCATCTCTTTTTTTTAGACATTTCCCTCACATGTTTAAAAACTTTGTGTTATTCTCTGTTGCTGTAGGAGCAAAGTTTGATGACACTTAGCACAGGCACTTTAACGAACACAAACTGAAAATACATTGACACCATAGAAATTCTGCATTATCACTGTTATCCTTCTCTTTTGAGTTCCTCTCTGGTGATCCCAGAAACACTGAAATAAATAAGGGTGTGCTCTACAGCCAGTTTGCTCTGCTATCTCAAGAACAAGAAAAAGTATGACCATACCACATTTTTGTCAGATGAAAGCCTGGAATGCAGTTCACTTGCAGGACACATTCTCAACAGCTTCAACTGGACAAACTTTTTATACATTTTAACAGATTTGCAAATAAAAATGTTAAAAATCAGCATATTTTCTAACATCAATTATATACATATATTACTTTTTAAATAACTCGTGTGGTCCTTACAAATCATACAAATACTCAAATGCTTCTGTGTATGCACGGGAACTTCAGAGTCAGTTGCCTTGCTTTGGTGCTAGGGAACATTTCTGAAGTATCCCCAGTTTGCACAAGTTCTGTAATTACATTTTCTTCCTCTAGAGAATTTTTTATGTTTGGGAGTGATGATGATGTCTAAGATTTCAGCTTTGGAAGAAAGAAGGAAGCTGGAAGAACGCTAGAAGCAAGAAAAAGATGGAAGAAGGTTCAGCAGAGGATCCTCCAAACAGCTCTGTTAAAACTGATTTCCCTTTTTGGTCAAAAGTTGAGGTTCTACTCTTCCTCCCTGCTGGAGAAACAGCACAGCTCATGCTTGGCCATGTATCTGTTGACTGGATCCTGACTGTGTCTCACAGATAGATGCAACTTCCTATCTTGAACTGCCAAATCACTATAGACGTGCCTCAGTATTTGTACTCTTGCCAGCCCTGGTTATATTCACCCACCTTGCTCTGTTCTTGGGCACTGCTGGAGTGCCCCTTCGTCAACAAGCCTCTGCTCCCCTGGTTATTGTGTTTGGATCAGAGTTTCCTTTCCCTTCTAGAACAATCTATTCTTGCTGTTCCTTCACTCCACTGAATTATGGATTTAACCAGTTTTCTGCAGAATTTCTGTTCAATTGTTGACACTGATTGTGTTTGCATTCACTACAGGTGACTCCCACCCCAGGGCATGCAACATGCAGCTCTGGCTAACATTAGATTATAATTTGAAGCTATAAAACCTTCATGTTCCAACAAGCCCTTCAATGGATGCAGCTGAATACAATAAAAATACTTTCAGCTTGTTATTTTTCATTGGAATACGCTGTGGGACAAAGACATAAAGATAGATAAAGGTATGAATAGTGTTTATATATATGTGTATGTATTGAGACTACGTTTTAATAATTAGTTCAACTTCAGTGAATCTAGATGAAACTATAAAACGTGAAAACTGCATAAATAGCATCTGACAACAGTATCTGATTTGACAGAAACAACGTATTACCCCTGTTCCACTTTCTTGGGTAAGTATACAGGCTATACTCTTGGAAAACTCCACTGCATGGAATGACACGTAAATTTAAAATAGAAATTGTGATGATTTTACATACCTGAGGCACCCATTTGGATGAAACGAAACTGGTCACTTCTATTGCTGGAAGGCCTGTTTTAGAAAGCCGGTTGATTAACTCTATTTTGATATCAGTTGGGACAATCACCTGTGAACATGGAGACATATTATCATAAAGTATTTCATTCAGCAAGACGTTTTTGTAAGTGACATGTTCCTAGCAATAATCAATACATGAGTTATAAAATAATGAACTATACTTGTACTATGCAATTTACTGAGAGAAGAAGCTACCATTCAGGGAAAGCACTAGATGGTACACAAGATTCTACTCCATTTTTTACACCACAAAAATAAAATGAGGAAACACTTCCATATAACTGATTTTAGATCTGCCCTCACATCAGCCTTGTGAAGAAGCAACAAAGGAAACTGTAACACAGAATAGACCAACCAGAGAAATACTGAGGTAAAAAATAAAAGCTCCACAGCTGAGGCAGAGTTATTCTGGACTACTATTAACTCTACCAAAACTTTTTATATAAGTAACAATATAAATAAGATTAACCACTCATTTATGGAAAGGGATTATTGTTTGGGTTTTGACAAAAGTACTGTGTTTTAAATAGTCCTTTTCAATCTACTTCTTTACTTCCCTATACACCTTTAGGCCATAATTTCATTTCATTGAGAATTATGACAAAATCTATCATACTGTTCCTACCGTATGTGTATACCTACACATTCCATATTACAAGGATAGCTAGTGTTTTGTGGCGTTTGCTAATTATGTCATAACAGAATGTGATTAGCTGACAAAAATTCCAGAGAAAAAAAAGGTGGTGGAATAAAATAAAGACTATTTAATCAAGTATAGCAAGAGGTAATGCAATTTAATATTTGGCTAAGCAGTAATATGCTTTAATTCCAACATGCAAGACAGTTATTAATATACATAACTAACTATATTTTATAAAATAGAAGAAATATGATTAGCATGACACGTGTATTTTACACAATGAAAAGAAACTGATATCCATGTCAAGGTACACACAAAAAAAAGAAATTACCTTTTCATTTTGTAAACCATCCCTTGGCCCAACTTCTACAATCTTTACGTACTCAGGCAGTCCAGATGCTTGGGATTCCTGAAACACAAAACAATGAAGATCTCTAAGATAAAAGGCACAGCTTGCACTTCTCCTGTTACTCCAGGTATAAAGTCATATCGTCAGTGAATTTTTTAAAAATCTGTGAGAATATGTTCCACACCTTCAATTAGGGAATGAAAAGGAGAAGTTATTGACATATATGTTCCACAGCTACTCTGAGGCCACAAATGCTTATTTTAAGAATGTACAGAAAACCATAAATGAACTTTTTTTTTTTTTACAAAGTGAGAAATATTCCCATTTCTAAAAGCTTCCCAACAAATAAGTGTTACCATCCTCCAAACTTTTACCTGAATGTTCTCAATTTAACCAAACACTTACTTCTGTGTAAAGGTTTGCAAGACTAGGCTATAAATCTGAAAAGAACAGAGCAAAGAAGTCAAGAAATGTTGAAGAGATTATTAGTGAAAGATGAAAGTAATTCCTCTGCTGGAAGTTGAAGGCTTTAAAGAAGGATTTAAAGGGGAACAAGGAAGGCCCCTGGTAGACAAGAGGAATTTTCCAGGTGTAAGAGAAGATCCAAAAAAGCAGGAGGCTCAAAGGAGGGAAAGAAGGCAGCAGTAAGGTTATAGGGCTAAGGACAGCATGGGGAGTTGAAGGGGGAGGAACAAGAAACAAGAGCAGAAAAGCAGGTGAAGGGAAATGAAACTTCCTTTTTTATTATTTAGCTGCTCTGTTATTGAATCAAGTTGACAGGTGCAGCAGTTAATGTAACCTGCGCCTTGAAGTCCTGAAACACTTCAGAGTAGTTGCTTAGATTGACCCCCAAATGCTGTGTGTCTTTAAAAAACAAATCAAATGGCCAACCTCGGGCAGGCAGCCAGCCCCTGGATGAGCCGACAGGATGAAGAATACAGGCAGCCCCACCAGGAGCTCTAGAGGTGCCCTGTTTTCTATATTGCACTGAATCCAGAATCCTATTCGGTGTCTTCAATTCGTGCTAAAGCCCTTGATGGGATTAGTGCAAGCTACCTGCGGGACTGCAGCTGTCTCACAACCATGACCTCCCCTGGCAGCTAAACTCCACTGTATCAATGAAGCTGTCAGCTGCACATAGAAGTCAGAGCTTGCACAGAGACCAAGCACAGCCCACAGAAGTCGTTTGTGCCATACACGAATAAGACCACTGATCTCACAACATTCAAAATGTGCATTTCATCCCTCAGTAGCATCAGTGGTAGCACCACCATTAGAAGCATCAGTGTAGTTTGAATCAAAGTGCTGCTAATTTCTCCTCACAGCAATGGAAAATGAGCCATCTGCACCACGCTTCTACGGCACCTTTGGTTTTCCCCCACGTTCTCAGCGCCTGTGGATTAAAGGAAGCTCTCTACAGTAACAGGCGACATACTGGCCAAAATACAATAAACATATTTCAGAGCATTTACTGTATATTTATCTGAGCACAGTAAAAAGAATGGGAAACAGCTGTATAGTATCTATTTGATCACGTGGAACATCTGGTAAGTTAAAACTTTGTCAGGCTGTGCTAAGCCCACACTCGCTGACAGTATAAACCTACTTAAATGGGAAGGTAAAACCTTCACATCTGCTGCATATTGTTCCTCCTCTTTTTTTTTTCCCCTTGAGTTATTTTCACAAATATGGCACAGCTTCAAGCATAAATCTGGGTTATTTCATGATTATTGATCCTTCTTGTTACAAGACAAATGCCACAGTGTTGCTGTGAATAGAAGCTGCGATTGGGAGAAAAAAAAAAAAAAAAAAGTGGGGGGAGAAAGAAAAAAAAAAGAGCTAAAATAGATAATGAAAAGCTTAATTTAGAGCATGCAAAATATCCATAAAACCTTGGTGGCAAAGATGTTCAACTCCTAGGCCAAATCCTGTAAATCCTGCTCAGTTCCTACTGTGGTAAAACTTCCGTTTGAATGGAAGAGCTGTAGAGCTGTACCTGTCCTTACAGAAGAGCTCACGCACGCTCACTGTACTATGTGCTGTAGTCACAAGGCCAGTCAAGCGGAGCTCTGCAGCCCTTGGACTTCACAGAGGACCAAGTGAATGATGCTGCAGAAAGCCATTCCAGCATTGATTTACATTCTTCACTTGTGATATTACAGGCGTACCATATCTAATTTCCCCCGTAGCCTTCTTGCTCATTAGTCAGTCCCAATTTAAGCTCTCTGTTCTTGACCACAACACTGACCAGAGGTACAGGCTGATTTTCACGAAGGCAAGTCACGAGATGGAAATTCAAGGCAGAGCTATAGACAAATCCCGACTCTCTTCATGCTGATGGACTAATGGCTTAGAGTAAACATCTTGGCTCTCAGACCAGGAATGACTTGCTTTGCATTACATTTCGTCTGATTTCACCTATTACATTCTATTGCTTTGTCTTCAAGGTTACCCAGTTCCTCCTGTGTGCTATCCAGTGTGCTACTGGCATGGTCACCTGTCTTTCTGTCATCAGTAGACATTACCACCCTTAACATTTCATAACTAAAACACTTGGACTACCATGAGTACCTCATTTTAGCAAAAATACATTCAATTCAACACATTTGAGTTAGTGTTCTTAAAGAAACACATTAAACAAAATGACCTGAGGATCTCCACCAGCAATGTCTCTTCAGTCTAATACATCTGTTTTCAACATTATCTCTTAGCTCCTCCTCAGCCAGCTTCTTACTCATCTCACAATTCCTCTTCTCATCATCCTTCTCCCCAACTGCCAAAGCTCAGGTATCAAGCAAAAGGGACACAAACACAAATTCAGTCCCATGTGCTATTCACGCATTTTACAGTACATAATCACTGAATAAAACTCAGAAATAAAAGAGGGGTTATGTGACTACATGTTCCATCTTCTCAGGTGATATTTTTTGGAGTCTGTATTCCAAGTTGAATTTGAGGTGAAAGAAACATCTCTTCACCTTCACTTCACTTGTCCTATGTTCATAGAACTTCACAGAACTCAGTAACCGAGCAGTTAGGACTTACTTCCAAGAAGCTGGAGATACGTACTTGACAATGCAATCAGAAAATGAGACTCCCTGTTTTCTTGCTCGATCTTGCAGAGTATGTGGATGCCACTTAAAACACAGCTGAAGAAGTGAGCACAGCCACCAGTCATTCTGTGCCAGGCTCAATGCCATTTGCATTCACTAGGCAAACATCAAATCCACAGAACAGACTGAAGTCTTAAAGAGTTTACACGGAGTTTAAACACTTCTGTTTACTATCTGGATGGCATCAGACCTTAACCAGGACTTCTTGAATTGAGGAATGGAGTCTCCTTAACTCTAAAACAGGGATTTTAAATGTGCACCATCCCCTTGGGTAAAAGGGAAGGGTTTTCAGAACCAGCAAAGAGAAAGACTTAAGAGATCTTTGATACCTTTAAGTATGGCATTAAATGGCCTATTTCTGTAACAAACAGAAAAATGAGAAATAGTTTTTATATTTGAACAGAATCCAAAAAAGATGAACCCTATAGAAATACACAAGTATTTATGTTAGACACTAAACATGCAAGGCAAATCAGTTTTGTTTCAGAAAATAATACTTAATTTTATTATATGAACTACTTTCATGTAATGAAGTATAAAAAGTAGTTATAGCAGATACTTAGAGGTGACTGTTTATTGAATTATATACTGGCTCTGTTAAAAAGTAATGGCTACCAAAGCACAATGTTTGAAATATCAAAAAGGAAATAGATGACATAAAAGACTAAGAGCCTGGAAAATTTGTTTTTTCCATGTATCTAAGCCTTGCCAAGGGAGAACAAAAAGCATATAAAACCACAAAAAAACTGCCTCCCTCAAAACAGAATCCAGCCAAAGGGTCTTAAAAAAAAAAAAAAAAAATTAGAAAAAGGAAAGCTATACTGTTCAGCTTGAGACACTGGTTGCCAAATTTCTGTAAGGAAATATTTTCCCTGAGTTATAAATAGCTGAAAATTCAAGTTTATTATAGAAAATCCTAGTAATCCTTAATTAGAGCAGTATAATTTAACATAACCATAAATGTAATCAAATTAAAGAAACATGCTTTTTTAAGCTCTGTCACTGCTTCAAAACTTCTAATAAAGGCACTGAGGTTTATTCAGACTTCTGACTTTCATTCCGTGCAGCTCATCTACATGGGGATTAACAGCACTGGCAAATATTACCCAGAGATGATCAAAACTAACTAAAGAGACCCAAAAATAAGGGAGAATAAGCTGAAGGTTTGGTCTTTTCAATCTGAGATGAAGCTCTGCTTTCCTTTTCCACAAGGTGGTGTTCTGTCACAGAGGACAACTGAGCAAAAGCAGGTCCATCTCATAGAAAATTTGCTCAAGAAAATGGTTTTAAAGACGAATCAGCAGGGACGTGGCATCATGACCTCGTATGCACACGTGCAGCAACATGGATAAATGCCCAATAACTGAGTAGAGGCTCTGAGATAAAAAATACAATTGCTGGAAGGAGAACAAAGAAAACAGTGGTCAACTTTCTGAACACACAGACATCTCTAAACTTTACAAGACATAGAGGAAATAAACAGGAAAAAATTAAAATATTACTACAAATCAAACAGTGATTGAAGTGATATTGCAGAGACTTGTTTATACAGTTCACACTACGGGAAGATGGATATAAAAGAGATTCATTCCCAATTTAACTAGGAGAAAAAGTGGGGAGATTTACCTAGAAATATGAAGAATATACACAAATATTCAGAAAACAGAGGGACACACCTGGTAAATATTCCTCTTGTGAGGCCCCATCTGGAGTACTGCGTCCAGGTCTGGGGGCCCCAGTACAAGACAGGGAGCTGTTGGAGAGGGTCCAGAGGAGAGCCACAGAGATGATCAGAGGGCTGGAGCACCTCCCCTACAAAGACAGGCTGAGGGAGCTGGGCTTGTTCAGCCTGGAGGAAAGAAGTGACCTTATTGCAGCTTTCCAGTACCTAACAGAAGGGAAGTCAACTCTTTGAGAGGACAGATAACAGCAGGACAAAGTAAAATG